CAGCTCAAAGCGAGCACTCTACTGCTTAAGCCACAGCACCACTTCCAGTTTTCTAGTGGTTTATTGGAGATAAGAGTCTCACAGACTTTCCTGCCAGGGCTGGCTTTGAACTGTGATCCTCAGATCTCAGCCTCCTGAGTAGCTAGGATTACAGGCGTGAGCCACCGGTGTCCAACCATATTCTTATTTCTAGAAATTCTTATTGCTTCTATTCTTTGGCAGTCTCTTTTTAAGAACTATTAGTAATTTTGTTACTTTGAGGATGTTAATTACATTTTTAAACTATACAGTAAAAAAATTAATAATTTAAATTATTTTTACCATATAGTTTCATGTTTCAATTTTAGATTGCCTTGTTAAGATTAGCGTATTTCATTATGCCATGTCCCAGAAAGGCTATAAAGACCGAATGTATTTTCCGTACAGATTTAAATAGTGTCTTTATTAATCATCTTTGTCACTAGATATCATAAAGCTAGCTTCTGTTTCAAATGAGATTGGAATCTGTAAGTATGTAGCAATTGAAGATGGGGTGTTGTTAAACACATATGCCTAAGTACCTCTAGTCTATACTCTGCTCTCGAAACTGAGGCTGATCTTTTAGGAGGTCCCTGACAGCAGGTGAGAGGGCATATACTTTTCCCAGGATCATCAAAACACCAGCTTTACAGTAGAATGTTTGTAAAAGAAAAATTTGTTTGTGAAATTTTAGTCTAGTAAAATCCAAGTTTTTTTTTGTTTTTTCCTCTTGGTCATGGGGCTTGAACTCTGGGCCTGGATGCCGTCCCTCAGCTCTTCATTCCAAGGCTAGTGCTCTACCACTTGAGCAACAGCACCACTTCTGGTTTTCTGTTGGTTGATTGGAGATAAGATACTCGTGGACTTCCCTGCTTGGGCTGGCTTTGAACCGCAATCCTCAGATCTCAGCCTCCTGAGTAGCTAGGATTACAGGTGTGAACCACTGGTGCTGGCTAGTAAAATCCAACTTTATCTTCCTTAATTTTTCTTTGGCACCACAACAAATAAGGTCTGTCCTTTTGTAGTATCTCTTGGCAACTCTTCAGTTATAGGATATGCATTATGTGCATATTTACCTGAAAACTTTTTACGTCCAGTTTAGACTAGGTTGCTAAGTAAGGGATTTGTAATACTTGGTTGACTTCCAACAAATCCATTTAAACCTAAATGCTACAGTCAATAAACTGTTTCTCTGCAATGACAGTCCAGTTCTAGAGTTGTGCAATGAGTATAGTTTATAAAGAGAAAGCTGGGCAAAGTGGCACATACCTCTTAATTCCAGCTACTCAGAAGATGCAGGCAGAAGGATTTACTTGAAGGCCAGACCAGGAAAATGATAGGACACTTGTTTAGCATATGCAAACCTAGGGCCTGTCCCCAATGGGGTGAGGTGAGGAGACTATTACATATTTTTATTTGATTTTTTGATATCCTAGTAAGTACAATACTCATTTAAAATATGCCATCTTTGTATCATTCCAATTTTAGTATATGTGCTGCTGAAGCGATCACTGTTGCCTATTTTTAAATTGGTTATTTACTCCTTATTTAAGTATAAGGTTCTTTTTGTATTCTTTTTTTTTTTTTTTGGTCCAGTCGTGGGGCCTGAACTCTGGGCCTGGGCGCTGTCCCTCAGCTCTTCAACTCAAGGCTAGCGCTCCACCACTTGAGCCACAGTGCCACTTCTGGCTTTTTTCTTTTTGCTTATATGGTGCTGAGGAATCGAACCCAGGGCCTCATGCATGCAAGGCAAGCGCTCTACCACTGAGCCACCTTCCCAGCCCCTCTTTTTGTATTGTT